TGAGTACCTACGCTGAAGTACAGCTCTGCTACATCACACCACACCCTCCTTAATCACAGGGTGGAAGCACTGTTATGGCTTGGATGTGAACACTTCTCTGCCAGTAATTCCTAACACATGAGCTGTCTAAGCTTTACCATGACACTCCTCCAGTCGTTTGCTGTTTGGAAACACCTGCATGAGACACGGCTGGATCTGGAAACATGCAACTTCCCAAACGTAAACACATGGGGCAGGAGGGCCACCCGCAAAAAAACAACCCCAAGAAAAAATGTGGCATATCTGTATCATGCAACAAAATCTATTAGTACAACCATGGCCAGTGCCCATGTGCTCTTCGCTCTGTCTGCATTTACAAAAGATGATTGGTACTGAAAACCTCAGAGACTCCTAACCTGGCAGAGAGCCTGACTTTTAAACCATTGGCACAAAACTAACACTTATGGCCAAGTCATCCCTGGCTTTGGATGGCATACCTAGAACACTAGCTCTGCTTCTACCAGGAAAATATCCACTTCCTACATGACACACTTTTTGACAGCCTTCTCTGTAAAAGACAGGTGGACTAAGAGGCAGAACTGGCATGTGGTTCCCTGTCTCATCTCCTACACTGACCACACTCCCGTCAGAGACTTGGACCTCTCCTGTCCATGTGCTGGTTTTCAGCAGTCAAATAACTTCAATATCAGAGTCAGACTTTAGTACTAAACATGAAAACTGAATTAATTTTAAAATGTATTATCTTACAGAAAATAGTAATTAAAATCCTATAATCATAAAATAAACCAGGGAAAGGTTAGGCTAACGACACTTAAAAAAGTATTGGAGACCTACGGACAGCGGAGGAAATGCACAAGGAAATCAACAGAAGCCCCGAAGTAGAAGACAGAAACTGGAGAATATTGTCTTCAAAATCTTGCATTCCTGAGGGGATTTTTGGCATTCCCAGAATTGAGTTTTGCTTTAGGGTCTTCTATCATGAGAAAATCTTCTTTCTTGGCATATTTGGGGGAAAAGGTAGCTCTCACAGGTAGCAAATACTTTATTTAAAGCTGCATTACGCTTTCACAAAAAATCCCCATAGTAAATTGCACAAAGCTTTTCTGAAAGCGTTATTCATGTTATTCATGCTTACATTTCCCATTGTCTCAAGGTAAAGATTATTTTTATAAAAGATAAAGTCAGAGTAAATCTGTCCAACTCCTTGAATAAAATGTTCATTAAAATCTATTTTGAGAATAAATATGATTTTTTTTGTCAGCAGGTAATTGAAAGCAGCTAAATTTTAAATGATGAAACATCTTTTGTGATGCTACTGGAAATACTCTCCCGACAAACTTAAAGACAAACAAAAAATGGAAGAAGAATTATCCATATGTATTGGATTTTGCATATGTAATGCAGCAATGAAAAAAGAAATTTAAAAGACAGTAATTTGTGATTTGCCAGAAGTTAGTGCTCCATCTTACTGAACACAGATCTGGTCATGGAAAACCTTATTTTTCCGACCTTCCAGCTTCTCTTGCTCTTCACTGTGTCCATAAATGAAGCCAAATGCTGTGAAAGCTCCAATTCACATTAAAAAAAAAAAAAAAATGAAGCAAACCATCTAACCATCTATTTAATTCCGCCAACTGCTGCTCTATAGCATTTGCCTTCCCTGATTTCAGTTCAAGATCTGAACGCTGATAGTGGGGACTGCTGCAATTGAAAGTCTAACTCCAATTTTTGGCTGCTCTTCCATACATGTGACCTGAGTACTACTGCATTTGTTGCTTCAAGAACACAATGACTGACAATCATCAGAGGGAGGGTCATGAGAAGGAGAAAAACCTTCATAGAAGCCAGGTGTGATCTATTGATCCCCTTGTCACCGAATAATTAACATAGCTCTTACTCTCTTCAAAATTAAATCTGAAATCTATTTCTTCACCTTACCTTTCCTCATTTTTTTCACAAATACGTAAGTTGCTCTCTCTCTTGCACATACAAACATGTATATAACAGAGAGATATATAAACAAAAAACTCCAACAAGCCCTACAGACCAGTCAAGCAATCTTTTTTTGTGGTCCAGGAAGGAAGGGAGAGTCATTTTTATTGTTTAATTGTTGGGAAGTGTACAGGCCCAGTGACAAAGGGGATCATTAATCATTCAGTAACTTGCCTGTATGTGCAAAATAGAGAGGCATAGTATGAATATTCAGAGTTGCGCTCACAGCTAAGAGATAGATGATGTAAAAGGCTACAACTTACACTGGATTTATGCTTCTGCAGCTAAGACATCATGTTTAAAATGCCCACTCTACTGCCAGCAGACACTCTCAATGGTTTGTAGATGTCTTTTGAGCTGCTGCCACAGAGGCATTCCATAATGGTGAGCTTTCCTGTGCTTTAACAGCAGGTCAGTGCTTTAAAACCTGGCTGTGAAAAGTGCTGACCATCTCCTCCTGCCCTGAATCACCCTCCACTAGAGCTAATGTTTTTACAGAAGAAAGATGGGAGTGCAATATTAGTCCAGAGAGTAAATACTTCCTTGTCGTACATATGTTGTGCACATGTATACATTAGAATTCAGTCTTTTGTTTGTTCAGTGTCTACCTAAACACGTACCAGGTAATACTATAAATAAAAGAACATCAATTTTGTTCTTGTATTGGACTTTGTGTTTACACTCTTAACTTTACATGGCTAATTTTATCAACTTTTCAATTAACCCTGCTTTCCGATATTAAAAAAATACAACAAAATATTTTTAAAATAAAACCAAATCATGGAGCTCTTCTAGCTGCTAAAAAGAAGAGCTAACTCTATCCCAGTAAAACCAGGACAAATACTATTCTTTATCAGTTTTCAATTAAACTGCATCTTTTAGTGACTTTCATTGCTTATTTTCTAGTGACAAAGCATATGGGACTAATGAATTCTGACATCAAACCATCACTTCAATGATGGAGCAAGCCTGTACAGCTAGAAACTTTTGCCAAAAGATGTGGGAATTAAAAAAAGTTGTGCAACTCAAGATCTCAGTAGCTTTACACATTTAAAGAGAAACAAAATAGATACTCTTCGTCATTCACCATACACCCAACAGTGCCCAGGGTTACGTTTCTTTAATAATTTACACAGGGTTTAATAATTTGACACAGGAGCATATTTTGAATGGTTTATATAGTATTTTTCTTTTCTATTCCAATGTTGCTTCATAAAGCTAGGCAGTAATTATAAACTACGAGAATCAAAACAGTAAAAGCTTCTAATCTTTGATTTAATGGGTAAAATCTTCGTTCCTCTGCCTTCAGTGTGACGATCAGGAGGAACGCCAGCATTGTGACCTCTTGATACCCTTTAGCAGTGGTTTTCAGAATGCAGTTCATGGATTATTTCTAAAGGATCTGTGAAAGATAACTAAGAAATGGGAGTTTATGGTCAAACGGCTTAAGTTCACTAGAGATCTGCAGTGCTGGATACTTTGCAAAGGTAAGCACACAGGAAAAGCTCGAAAATGACTGACACAAGATAACTACTTCAAGGCTCCATTTTCATTCCTCTCCTGCACTAGAAAGATGTCCAAGATCAGAATCATTTCAAACAGTAGCATCTACCACAGTGGTGGATTTCTTCCTAGTCTACAGTCAACAGCACAGAGCAGAGCTCTCACACTTGTCTTCAATTTCCTCCCTGAAACGCAATCTGAGTGACCAATATCTTTACTGTAAGTGGGAAAAGGAGAGTGGGTCATGGATAACCTATGATTTTTGGGTCATCACCATAACCCACCCTTCCTGAAGCAAAAATGGTACAGGCTGCTCAGCAGAAATGCTCTCGACCTTACACACATTGAAACAAAATCACATAAGTTATTTTTCAGTAAAAGAAGTATTAAATAATCCATAAAGCCTATACAACAGGCATAAAACTTTTGTAACTTTTTAACTTGTGTATTTTTCATTTTAAAGGTAAGAGAGACAGATACACTCAGACTTGCACATACCTTACGTATTCTACAGCACAACTGCTTTATGTAATTATTTATATAATTATTCTCATGTATCATCATGCAGCTACATGGTGCTGTGACAGGGAAGAAGAGATGCCTTTCATGATTTTGCTCAGCAGATCATTTCTACAATTATTACGCGTTCAACACAAGACAAAAAGGCAGTGAACATTAAGTATAATCTTTTGGGGAGGGCAGCTAAGTATACTGCTCTGTCCTCAAAACTCATCTTCTATGTCCTGGCTCCTTAGTCTAGTCTCTGTTTCCTCCAATTCATGTCATGAGGGTTCATGTTTCAGAGGAGAATAGAAAAGCTTTAAATATGACATTATTCACTGAAAACAATAATTCTTTAAAGAGAAAAGTGGAACTAAATGCAAAAGTTATTTCAAGATCACGGCAATCGTAATAAACATACACTTGAGAAGAAAATTAAATACAAAAATCAAAGTATTGAGAGAAACGGACAGAAAGTCATAGTCCATAAACCAGAACAAATTTTACAGTAACTTACATAACAAATGTACAAACCTCAACTAGAACAAACGGTGAAACTAACACACCACTTCTAGGAGTTTTAGGATTATACCAACTTGCAGTGCATTTGAAATTGCTCCCTGAACTAACTTTCCTTCTTCCTGACAGAAGAAAAAGAAGGACACACTAAATATTGAATATATTTCATTAAGCTAATACGGAGCAGGGTAATAAAGTCCGAATAGCTTGTTACAAGTGGGTTCGGTTTGCTCAGTATCATCAGTGCCCAGTCACTCAAGCCTACAGTCGATGCTTTAGTAACTGTCCCCTGTGCTACCCTTGGCCCTCTCAGATTCACAGAGGTTTTTCTGTCCTGTTTTCTCATGCTCCAGAGGAGGTTTCACCTATGCTTCCTATAACTGTGTTTAACCCGTTCTTCCATCTAAACCCAAACTTAGCTAAAATAACAAAGCTGCATTATGAAAGCATGTTTTTGTTGAACAGATGTTCTTCCTCCCACACCTATTTCATTACAGGCCTGTCTCTCCTACCCTCCTCATCCTGATAACAGTGTTTTTATAGTCAGGTCTCTTTGCTGATTTTAGCCAAGTTTCTAGGACACAATGTTTTAATTTAAACACGGTTCCAGTTCTGTGATTTTATTTTGCATGTATTTGAACTTGCTCCTCTATAACCTCGAAGGATGCTAATGTATTTCAAAACATTTTCACAACCTTTGTTTGTCCAAGAGCTTTCCCACTACATCCACTTTTCTCTGTGCAGGAGTCCAAGAGCACAGTTGCTGCATTACTCTGCCTCACTTTTTGGCAGTCTGTAGTATATTATTATGCATAAGCTGCATCATCTAATAACACTGCATTATTGGACACGTGCTTGCTATGCGGTAACTTCAGGAAGAATTTGAACTCCATAAAAACCTTTCCAAGGAGCAATACAACTTCATAGCACTAGCATGGAAAAGTAGAGTTGGGGTTGCATCCTATATAACAAAATTGAGAGTCTTTAATAAACAAGGTTTCCATGACTGTCTTATGCACCTACTTATCTGATGCGTTTTTCAGTGTCATGGAGGGTGCAACTCATCTCACCTAACTGACTTTCAGACATTTAGAGTTATCTATTTCTGAGCAACTCATCTAGACACACTTTGTAACCGCAAGGACAGCTGACAGCAAAGATGTATCAGTCTCTGGAGGTGAATGCTTTCTTACCTATTTGAGACAGAGAGCCTAGACAACTACTTTGCCGAGTAAGTATTAGAAGTTAAAGTCCATGAGGTAGATTGTATCTTGAGACTTCTCTTTCGTTTTCACTTTTTGACCATCACCAGTTTATACAAATTTCTAGTCCCTAATGAATCACAATTTTCTGGTAAACATTTTCCTCCACACTGCAGAAATAGTTCTTACAATTCCATGCAGCAACTTCTTATTTCTACCTGGTTGAACCTGATCATATAAGGGTGCAAATCCAGCTTCAGCAATGGCCCAGCAAAGAAGAGCACGATTAGCAATGACATGCTTGATGGCTTGTTCGTTAAGAAGAAGATAATGCAAGTGAAAATAAAAATGAGCAAACTAAAAAGCACTAATAGGAGGTTCTGTTACTTTTTTTTTTTTTACTGGCTCTAATTGATAGAAACCCCTATATGTTATTTTGAACTCTTGGTTTCTCCATGCTTTTACTCTTAATTATGTCCCAGCCACAGCAGCACTATAAAACTAATCACAGAGGGTGGATCTGAGCATAGTCAGCATTCAGAGAAAATCATTCCATGATCTCCTTGCCCCTAAAGGGATTTTCCATCTCATAAAACATGGATTGCTAAATATATGAAATAGAAAAGTAAATGTTATAGCCTCTATGTATAACAAAGTTTTAACTAAATAATCTCAGCAATCAATCCCAATGCAAAGGGTCTGCAAAAGCCAAGCCAGAGAAGTCAAAACCCCGCGTTAGATTAGTGTTGGGAAAGGGAGTGGTTTCCTGTGCTCTGAAGCAGCTTTCCATCCCTACCACAGCACAGACTGCTTCAAACTGGAGTAATCTTTCAGGGATGAGGCATGTATGTAGTTTTACTAAACAAGCCACATTCTTGTCTGCCTGCCGAGGGCTGCTTTCCTCCTCCTCGGTGTCAGGGTCTGGCTGCAGAGAACATTTCATCAGCAGGATAAAGACGGTTTCGGCAACCACATGAATGTAATTTGTAAAATTCCCACTTGGGATTCTCAACAAAATGTTTACCAAAAGCTGCCTGGAATGTCAGGCATGTATTCTTTCCTCCTTTATTGTTCTCTTTTCTTTCTATTTTACTGTGCTGCTCTGAATTTCCTTTCCTCATTTTTAAGTGTTTATGGACTTTTAGAAACAGGGCTGACAAAGCAGAAAAACTGATGAGGAACTTGGTGTGACAACAAAATTGCACTATGTAGCGTCTCTGCATCTTGCCTTGCACAATATTTCTAGAAGTAGCATTCTTCATTGACCTCCTTCCATCTTCCTGAAGGACCTCAAAGCCTACTTAGACTTGAGGGTCACAACTCCCCAATGAAGAAAAGTGCCTGGTGTTAAGGCACTACTCCGGTATCTGCTTTTTCTAATCGAATCTTTTTTTTTAAATTGCTTTGAAAAAATCACCAACAGATGGCAAAAGTAGTCCATTTTTTGCCTCTCTTAAAAAAAATTGTCCACGGACAATCAGCCAAATTCTGTTCTGATACACACACAACGCATACTTGTCTCCTGACTTCAACTGGGATTATGTGGGATGTAAATTTGCGCATAGCTGGCTTAAGGCATCTTAGCTGCTTGCCTGTTTGCTAGGAGAGAACACTACTAGATTCCTAGAAAAGGTTTACAGTAGAAAAGTGATATACAGTGCTCCAAGTGAGCAAGTATGACAGTCATCCAACAAGACACAGTTTAATTTTAATAAGCCTGCCTCTGAATGAGAAGCCAGATACAACAATCCGTGTAACAGGCTTCCACTATGTAAGCAGTAACCCATTCATACATCTTGTTAGAAATATGTGCAACGTACCAGAAACTCCTGCTGGTGTCTTTATGAATTTTCCATTAAAATGAGCAATCACTGCTTCACATTTTTCTGTTGACTCCATTCTAAGAAAATAAAGAATAATTTACATAAATTAAACACTCATCCAAATTCGCATATTTGTGATTTTTTTAAGCATATTTCTTGCTTTTTCTCACTTCACTTTTGTGGCTTGCTTTCCGATGCATGAACAATAGAGAGAATGTTTTGTAAGAACGCACAACTTCAGAAAGATAAAACTAAACTCAGTTAACATTTTATGCACTCTGAGGCCAAAGTCACTGCCAAACTGCAAATACAATACCCTTCCTTACCTAGAAATTAGGCAGAACATAACTTGGATAGCTACAGTACAAAGTACCTAAGCAGTCTTGAAGGAAGCAGAAAGACTGATGCAAAACGATTCATAACCGAATCCTTCATGTCCATGATACATGTAACAGATGTTAATTCCCCTTTTGATAGAGGATTCTGAAGAGTCTGTACAGTTTAAGAGTACTAAACTCCAATGTAAACATGCCTGGCCACATGACCCAAACTGTCTTTGCAGCTTTTAGCTCATACATATCATCCCGACTAAATGATATACCTGTCTCATTTAATTGTCTCCAAGTTACATTCAAAACAGGAACCAGTAACAGAATAGCTGTGACGGCTACTGAGAATTTATTCAGCATCCTGAACAGGTTTGTGCACTTATGTTGTCAAAATTAGACTTAATAGACTGGGTGGACTACTGGTGAGCTAGTGCTAGTCTGGGAGCTGCTCCATGGGTTGCAGCTATGTCCTTAACAAAGCAACGTCAATGTGTCAGTACTAACTGCCAGCTTGGACTAAGTTGCAATGGATGACCAAGACATGCAAGTATAACAAAATTTACTTTAAAAGAAGAATACATTTTGCAGCTGCCTGCAAGATGATACTTGGAAAATGTTGAACAGAGATTTTATTTTTATTTGTTCATTAAGGTCTGTAATTCAGATCCACAAATTAGGCCAACGGCCTCAGCGGCAAAGAAGCAGTACTAAAAATCACGAAGTCTTGACACCTTGTTAATTCTGATAAGCCTTTCTGCACAGGCAGACACAATATAGTCATAGACAACAAGCAAAATAATCAAAATGCCAGACTGAACAAGAAGCTTTCTTCACGGTTTCAAAAATACCTTCTACAGAATTTTCAGAAGTTCTGGATTGTTGGATCTGGATCAAAGAAACGTGTGGGGGTTTTTTTGTCTCACATGGAACAAACAACGTAATTTAGTTTCAGACTCAAGTCTGGACTTGATAAAATATATTATCCCATATTAACCTAATAAAATGCTTCCAAAGGCAAGAAATTAAAATCTTTATTTAACATCTACATGTTTCTTGGACAATTTTAAGTTTAACTAACGTTTGTCCAAAACTGTTAGCCTTCCTTGCAGAAGGGGAGAAATTCTGATTAGATACGACAGCAACAGCTTATTTTATAAACTATGTATAATATATGTATGTGAATTAAAAAAGAGGTATATGAAAATAACTTCACATTTATGTATATATATAAAATGTAACATATAATACAGAACCTATCGAGAAAATACTTTAAAACTAATCTCTTCTAACGTCTTTAATATAAGCAAGGTTTTGGATACACACAAGTCATCTGGATTTTTACATGCAACTCTAAAACTCTTCCAGATATATTAGAATAAAAGCATTCCTAAAACACCGCTGATTCAAGGTAGAGTTGGTAAGTAAGTTTAGGGAGCAACAACTGAATAAATTAAAAACGTTTACTGAATTTTAGCTTTAGTGCTAATGGATTTTGCCCTTCATAGTACCAAAAAGTGAAAGCTGCATTTAAGCAAGCATCAGTATTTTCCAAAATTAGTAAATAAAACTTTTGGATACATACTGCTTCGCATGTCATTTAAAAACACATACACACATTATGTGTATACTTGTATGGAGCTCACACTCAAATACTTATGCATATGCCTATATGAAAAAAATACAAGTGTATGAATGAAAAAAATGTTCAATTAAATTTACACCAAAAATATTACAAATGCTTACTGGTTTATTTAAAGGGGACGGGAAGAAATTTTGGTAGAAACCAAACTGGCTGGTTTTGCACTCTTAAAACACTATCATTCCATTGTTTCTAATTTTATTCCTTTGTTGCACCTTCTTGAAACTGGACAGTCTTCCAAGCAAACAAATTGTTGGGGGGGGGGGGGGGGGGGATATTTAAAATAATAAAACCAAAAATCACAGTGCTGTGAACTACCCATAGCCAACTCACAGGGAAATCAATCCCTAAAAATTTTGGCTTCATCAGGAGATACAATTTCTTCAGTTCTTTTCTGTGCACTAATTTTAGATTTTACTATTTGTTCAAATATAGGGCTACTGTAATATTGGCTGAATATCTAAATTACTGGAATTTGACTGTTAACAGAGATTTACAACATATTTTGAGAATCTCAATTCTTTGCTTAAAGCATGCTCCTATGTTTGATGATAGAAATCTCCAATCTAAAGCCTCCAAATTTTGATTGCTGTAGTAGGTTTAAAGCAGGACTTAATGAGAGAGAGAAAAATATTACAAAGGCACAGAAAAGGCTTTGAAGAAGAGACTCCAGAACAAATAACTGAATTAACTAGAGAAAAGGCAGACTTACATGGACAGAATATTTGGGAGGTATCTACTAATTTATGGAAAATATTTGTTCTTGTTGATTTGGGAGAGATACTTGACCAAGCTGTCAAATATTTTAAGGTGCGATTTACTGTAAGTGAATAAAAATATTTTCTTTCCCAGATGACAATATGTTAATGAAAATTCAAAGGGCTGACATTCAAAGCCCTGATTTGATTTTCTCAGAGCAACTAATGAAGAAAAAGAAAGAAAATTTTAAAAAAACTGGGGGGAGGGGGGGAGGAGGAGGTCTTTCTTATGGTCTGTTGTCTCCAATTCAAGCCTCGAAAGCCAGAAATGTCACAAAAGCTTCTGTAAAGCACTGCATAACTCTTGCTTACTGGTTCAGGGATAGAGAAGAAAGAAGTACAAAAAAGAGGAAGAAGCAGTGGAGAGTGAACTCTTATTTTAGACAGTCATCCAATGAGAGCAATAGATTAAGATTTAGCCATCAAAGTGAGATGAGACACAGCCGTATTTGCTTTACCAAACAGAGGATTAACAAAACTCTTCTGGTATCTCCATTTAGATCTCTCTATTCCTTGAAAGCTTGATAATTTTCAATAATTTCTGCCTTTTCCTCCTATTCCTGCCTTTTAAATTAAAATAAGGAGAAAAGCTGCCATCATGGCTAACACCACTGAAGTACCTTGCAAAGCCAACACCACGGCTTGTCCCACTTGAGTCCCGCAGTATCCTCGTAGAGATAACCTGCCCAAACGGTTTAAGCATGTTCTCAAGCTCCTGCTCATCCATTGAAAGCGGCAAATTGGAAATGTATAAGTTAGTCGGATCTTGTTCTTGTTGCTGAAAGAGAAATAAAAACAATTGTTATTGTTGCCACTGGAAAGACATTTTGAATAGAAAATATAACGACAATTACATATTATTCCTGGTACAGATTTTTACTTCTCAGGCCCCTTTCTAAGGGCTGCTCTTCCCTAGTATTAGTGACCTCCATCTTCTGTCACTGTATACAGCATTCCTAAGAAAAGCTCCCCTTCTCCTATTACTGCTGACAATGACATTTTTAAGTCGAGATAAAGGTGAATAATTGACCAGTTTATAGTCCGTATTACAACTTCGTTTCAAGACTTTTCAGAAAGAAAAATAAAAAAGCATAAACAAGAAAAAGGAAAGAAATTAGCAGACAAGGAAATACAAGACTGTTGGAAAGAGCTAAAAAAGAGCCAGAAGTAAATTAAAAAGAGAAAAGATTAGACTGACAATTTGGAAATAATACCAGGAAAAAAGGAGACAATACATTTAAGAGCATGAACATTGCCAAAATATTACCACAAGAGTAGGCTGATACACACAGAAGTGAGTGGTACACTGCCTTCTTCTCCCATACATGAACGTTTTTGAGTTTTCATCAAACTTTTACATTGTGCATTCAGACAATACAAAAAAAGTCTTCCAAAAACTTTCTCTAGAAACAAACAATATGACAGAGAAGGGCAGCCAGGAGATGAGTGATTAGGGAGGAGACAAATGCAGTCACGTCTTTGCCATTCCCCTGACCTTAGGCTATCTACTTTGTGTGATCTATGTATGCACCACAAAATTCCATCTCAATCAAAGAAATATTTTTGTTGAAATTGATTGTTTCCAGTGTTTGTCTACAGATTCTCTAGCTGTGGTTAGGGAGCTTCTCTTGCATCCCTCTCATACTGCTAATTGCTGGCCATGCTCCACGATGAAATACATTCTTAATCTACACAGATCTATATAACTTGGCCCTTACAGTTGTGCAAAACCTCAATGTCGTCATTGTGGCTCCCTGTACAGATACAAGCCTCTGCAGCATGCATTATATTCAGTAGAACTGTTTTGGCATTAGGAATGATATGATCTGAAACAAAGAAAATTTTGTTGGCATAGTCCTAAGCTTATTTTCATTCTGAACAAGAGGGCTGACTTACAGGGAAGTTTGAAGCAAACTAGATAACAAAAAACAAAACCACAACACTTTCCTACTGGAATTAAAGCATTTATTAAAGTGATTACACCTGTATGGGTGCTGATACCTTTTTATGCAAATTAGACATCAATTTGTCCATAAGCTTATGTCCTTATAACATCTCAGTACCTTTGGTAGCGCATTGCATCATTTAATAATTTTGCTATCCTGGATATCACCTCTCAGTTGGGGTTGGTTTTCCCTAGGAAAAAAAAAGAAAAGGAGCAGGGGCTAGGGGGGAAGTCGCACCTTTTGGGCACAGAAGGGAATTCTCATGTTCCAAGAACTAATGAAAGTTTAAAATGGAGAAGTAAATTCTATGCATATGGATCTTCACTATTTGCATTTTCACTCCAAGTCTTATATTCATTTAGAAAATGCTTTCAAGTTTTCTGTAAAGGTTTGGAGAAACTTCAGCATCAAAGGACCGATAAAAGGGAAATATGTTCCCATTACACGTTCTGCCACTGATATGACCGTAATTCCTAGCTACAATGAAATCCCCCATACCTTACAAAACACAAACTTTTCCCACTGCCCAAGTTTTATCCTAGTCAGTCCCTTTACAGTCCATTACAAATGGCACTGGACTACCATCCATGTTTTTCCCTGTGTTATCTAGTGAGAATACCCTCCCCTCAAAATGATACTGAATCTATACAGTACCTATGGAAGCTTGTAATTTAAATTATCTTAGAATACCTGACTTTTCTTTCATATTAGAAAATTAGCAGAAAGAGAAGACAAGAAAAATGGATTCACTGAGAGGCCAGAGCTAACATTAATATTCATTGCTGGGCAGTGTTCAATTCATGAGGGAAAACTTATGTTACAGTAGTTACATCTTTGACATAGAGTTCAAATTTCCTCAGGTAGGAAATTAGTTACTTAGATTGTAGTTGTCACTTTTGTTTTGCACCTTGAAATATGTAGGCTTACTTCGTTCTTTAATGAACACTATTAGCAAAAGCTTTATAGGAGGTTTTAGCCATGGGCATTACAAAATTGCATTTGTAGCTATAGCATAATTTCCTGAAACTCCGAATTCTATTTGAAAGGAAAAGTTTTGGATTTTTCACTTTTTATTATAAGCTGTAAAATATATTGCACACAAATACTCTAACATTCCCTAAATAACCTAAAACAGTAGACAATCTGGAAAATCAGGTCCTTTGCATATTTTCATTTAAGTTGCTGATGTTTTTATTCTATAATAACAGAAAGTTTGAATTATATTATAAAAACATTCTCATTAAAAAACCTAACAATATTTGGAAAGATTAAAGAAGGCCCCATTTTGTTCACACTAACAAAAATGTAATTTACATGCAAAAAAGAAACACTTCCATTCAGAAACACCTAATAGAGAAGGAAATTCAGTCAATTGCAGAAAGTCAGGGCAATCTGGTTTCTTCGGGTAACTGGGGAGATCACATTCCCCTCCTTCTCTCAGGCTGCTATTCCAGCCTGGGGGGTTACCACACTTTTGCATTATACAGGCAATGTATTCAGGATGAGAGATCATGAGCTTTCCTTGCCAAAAGGGACACAAAGATCCACTGCGATTCACTGTAACACATGAAGATCTCCCTCCACACACACTGGGAAGGGCGTACCTATCCACCTAGCAGAGAAAACTTCGTATCATAAAATCATGGAACAACGTTGTTAGAGAAGGGAATGCTCAACTTTGAAAGAGTATTAGTGACTTTAGCAGTAACCCACACTGCAAATCCCTTAGGAATGGAGAAGAAAAAAAAGTGCATCTGAGGAAACTGTTCCAAGGAAACTGTATTCTCTGAACAGAAAGCATTTTGTGATGGAAAAATTTAACTTAAAGCCCATGAAACAACCTGTACTTTGTATTAGGAACCAAACTGGGTTTTGTAAGGTGTGTGCTGAATGGGTGACTGGAAAGGACTGACTTCTGCCGTCCTGACCACTTTCCTATGCCAGTCTATTACAGCTCGAATACTCCCAGGGATTCAGATATTTCTGCTTTTGATCCTTTGATGGGACACACTGACCACAGTGGAAAAAGAAGTTTGAAGATACTTCTTCATATGTCCATAGCTAGAACTGGTAAAGGTGGCAGACATGGGAGAAGAGCAAAAAAGCAGCCAACAGTTAAAGATGTCACACTGAAATTCTGGAATACGAGTTGAAATTTCATTCAACTGTAATTCTCCCAGAAAAAAAAAATAGTTAATATGCCAACAAACACATTCCACAGTGCACCAAGGTTGTATCTGCACTGCAGGTGCAAACGCACAGTCACCCTGGGCAGCAGCACCAGTTCAGCTATAAGGACAAATCATAGAATATCCCAAGCTCGAAGGGACCCATAAGGATCATTGAATCCAATTAGGTCAGGATAGATTAATTTAATCCACTTCACTTTGCAGGAAAAAAAAAAAGACTGCCATTGGTTCTCAAAAGAGCTCGGTCACAATACTAAGACAATATTGTTGGGGTAGACGTAAAGCAAGACTGAATTCTTTCTAGAGTGCATTAGGAGCTTTATGCAGTTCAGCAGCAGAAAAATTATACCTATTAATGTGCAAAACATCTCCTCTATTCCTGTTAATTACTTACATCACTGCAGCTTCTGTCATCTCCAGGAGACCACTAAAATCTTAAAACAGCTATCTGGATATGTTTTGGGAGCTGATAAGCAGCAAGCCATTTCCTTTCCCTTAGAACACTCTGGATTTCCAAGCTGACTTCCAAATGGCAATCACAACTAGGACTCCCCATCCATCGTTATCTTGTCTTACACAAAAGGCACTGTACAAACAGATGTTTGCTTTTATACAAGGTTTTGGCATGGAAAATGGTTAAACAGTTAAAAATTCAGGAAGTTAGGAGAGAGATAAACTTTTTAACTCGTCTCTCTGTTTCTCTGGCAAACGGCAGTTTAACACATTAAGTTCTGTGACTTCCTTCCTTCCTTATCAAAACTTGTCTCACCATAGTTTAATTCACATGGTTACTACAGTTTTGTTTCAGAAGAGAAAAACAATTCTTTTGATATCTAAGTTTCTAATTTTTATTCTGGAATTCAGCAAAAAAGTGAAACTTCTTTGTTTCATCTGCAAAAAAAAAACCACAGCGACTCAGCTCAAACCTTGCCTGTACACTGTAATCGATCTAAATGCTTTCAAAAGGTAGGGTTTTTTTCCTATTCTTAAAATCCATGAAATCATATAAGCTGCTTGCACCTTACAAATCTTAACTCTCTTTCAGTTATTGGTAGTGTTTTATGGGAATGACCAAAAAGTCAGTGGAAAGCTTCCTACTCAGGATAGCAAGCTAACATTAAAATATAAACCACTGAATCACTGACGTTTGTTGGTGGGTTTTTTTTCAATTCTACACGATTTAGGAAAATGGCTTAATTGGAGAGTCTTCATATTTCACATAGGGCCTCGTCAGTTAACAAGACCTTCAGCAGGTCCTGAAAGACACTGAAAGTGCTCAATATTTGCAGATTTTGGGCAATATCAGGGAATTTGAGGGCTACTCTAAGTATCCATATTAGCGAGGAAACTAGTAAATGTTATTTTTAGTAACTCACGTCAGCAAGTTCCTATCTGTCTTTTCTCAAACACCTTTAGCCACATTGCCAGAACTTTTCTAGCAGAACATAGTAATACAAAGATGCAGAACTCTTTGACGCAGAATCTCTTGCAGATTAACGCGCTTCTTACTCCTAAAGAGCACCTACAGCACTAACTTAAGCTGACTACAACTTACAGTGTTTCTCATAAAAGGGATAGGAATAACCAACTACTAACGCTCATTTCTGTAGAAAAGTGGTGATCAGGAGTCCTACATCAT